CATTAAACTAAAGGAACCATTTCTGCCTAGAAACATCTTCTGTGTGTTCTGAGCCTCGGATCCTTCTTATGGTCCTCTTGCATTGTTCTTTCATGAAATGTCATTTCAAAAACTTGGAAGTACTCCACCAGAGACCTTACCAGTGCTGAATATACTGCAAGGATTACTTCATGAGTATTGCAGACTATAGTCTTGTTTATTCAGTCCAAAAGGTGATTACCTTTATTGCAATATTGTGACATTGTTGACCCATGTTAAGCTTGTTATTCCCTGTAATCTCATAATTTCTTCATGCGTAGTGAGCTGGAATTCCAAAGGGTAACAACACAGATCTAGGAAGGCAGCAGCCTGTGCATCAAATGGCCCATGAAGATGTTTGTCCTGTCCACCCAGGAGCAAAGAGAAGGTAAGTAAAGATGTGTATCTTCCTGGATTGCTGGCTGGCCAAACGTCATTGTATTATTGCCTCAGGTCTACCACAAGGTATATTGCTTTTTGGTGCACTGGCAGGCTGAGCAGAAGCGTGACACGAGATGTGAGAAGGATTTAGGGGAGTTGTAAAAGGAGAGCATAGGAGGAACAATTAACATTTGTGGAAGAAACATTGCCAGTTGCTGATAAACTGTGGTCTTTCTGACTAGCCTCTCTCTTCTTCTACTCAAACTTCATGATTTCCAGAAAATATTCTGCTCGGACCAAGAACTGGTTTGAGAGGTCAGGTTACCTTAAAAAATAAATCATAAAACTCTATGCACAGTCCAGTGATAAGCTCATGAGCTTGAGGAGGTATCATCCCAGTAGTACTACAACAGAGGCTGTAGTAAGAAGCCCAGGAGCGCTTCTCTATTGCCTAAATTTGATCTAATCTGTACTGCCTTTTTCTTTTTTCCTAATGAAGCCCTTTGTCACACATTGAATGGTAATTTGCTATTTGAGTAGTCCTATTGATGCCCAGATTTGGAGGACTACCTGGCAGTTAATTTTTTTCAAACAGAGTAAGCTTAAAAAGGATAGCATAGCAGGATGTGTAATGACAATGGAGTTGAAGGGTGGCTTCACTTTTTTCTCTGACACACATTCTTTTTTATGAAGAAGGGGCCTGTCTTCTTAATGAATGTATAGGGCAAAGTCTGTAAAAAAACACTGCTCAGAAACTGGGTGCTCACATTTAGGTGAGCTGCTTTTGGGAAGGGAAGAAGAACTGGTTTCTGGTCTTTATTTTGCTTGTGGCAACTTTTTTAGTGTATAGACATATAGGTTCCCCCATACTTTGAAAAGTGTTGGGGATCAATACTGTTGAGTCACCCCCTTGCTTACTTTTGGTTGTGTGTGCAGGTTCTACTCCTTAATCCATGAAAGAGGCTTACATTTTTGCAGCTTAGAGTATAAAGGGAGGCCTCATATGTTCCTCTGGGGTAAGCATAAAGACTGCTAGGAGTACTTGCCTTTGTTGGATCTTTCAGAATATTAGGAAGAAGGTAGCAATCCTGCATAGAATGGGTTTCTCCACTTGCTTAGAGAAACAGCATGTGTTGCCCTGTAGCAAATACTCTTTTCACTGCCAGCAGCTGCAGAGGAAGGCAGAGCTCTGAATTTGCACCCTCCCTGCCCTCCTGCACAGGGCCTCAGCATTGCTATCCATGCTGTAGTTTCTTTCCTCAGCTGTACAAGCAGTTTGGTATTGGCAGTGCTCTGCAATGTGAGGCTTCCTTGAGCCTATTCTTTGCTTTCCCCGAGTGGTCTAGTGGGTGCAGGAGTAGCTGCTGTACAAAACCTAAGGACAGGCATTAACAAACATATGAGGTGTGCTTTCTCCAGTGAGAAAGTCAGACGTGCGTGGGCAGTTTTTAGGAAGAACAGCTGTAAATGCCAGAACACTTTGTGTCATCTTCTTTGGACAGTGTATCATTATCAGGAAGGAAAAGATACAGTTGCAGTAGGCACCAGAGGAAAACCAGTAACGTCAGTGCACAACTATTATAATAGAGGCCCAATCTCACCTGACAACACTGTGGAACCCACAAGATAGATCTTCTTGAGCCATTCCCAAAAGGAATATGACAGAATGTATGTAACTCATGCTTACAAGGTCAAAGTGGAGCATTAAGCTCTATTTCTGGGGAAGGAAGGAAAAGCAGGGAAAAAGACAACATCTGCATTCCAACAATTGCTCTCCAAGCTAGAGTAAGGCTAAAAAAATTTTATTCTTCACTGCACCAAGAGACATAGAAGAACAGAGGATAAGAGCACTTCAGAATTTATTGCATCATGTTTGTAGAGGCTTTAAGAGCAACAAAATGGAGGCACAGATGCCTTCTGTTCCAAATAATACACAGTAGCCGCTCCTTTGAAAAGCACAGGACACATGCAGCAATTGCTATTAAATGAAAACCAGTGGTTGGAGTTCAGGCTGAATGAACAAATTGTAAGTAGGTTTCACGTTAACTGCTTTCAGCGTCTATCTTTCTTATACAGGTACGCATTACAGAAGAGATCAGGTCCTTTGGATCTGCATAACAGGAGCAGCACATGGATGTGGCATATGCCTTACTGCACGTATATGTTTTTCTTTATAGTGTGTGCATTCTGTACTCATTTATTATGACGTGTCAAACATAAACAAGGCTAGAAACTTCTCGACAGTTACCTCGCCTTTTCCATGTGAGACCTCACTTATAGTTTATAAATTTGCTAAGGCTTGAGTGTTTTCAGAGAAATTTTTTCTCTCAGGTTCATTTTGGGGTAAGAGGGGACAGAGGGAAAGCGTATTAGCTAGAACAACTGAGCCATGTCTGGAAAACAGTCTTGCAGAAGATACAGAATATTCCCTCTGCCATATTTTTGGGAACCGTTCTCTTAAAAGATGATGACATCTTATGCTTTGGAACCCTGGATTTCTTATTTGGTGGAAGACAATGCTTTCATGTTAAGAACATTCATTTTGCTCAACTAATGAAAAGCAGAACCCGAACGTAACCCAGTTCTGTTAGCCTTTGTGATGAAAGAAAAAAAAAAAAAATCATTGTCTATACTCTGTTAAGATTTGCTAGTGTTTTAAATTCTTCAAAGATTACCTGCAGCTTCCAGTCTGGACTTTATTCTGTCTGATCTCAGCACTGCAAATGGAAGCAGGGAGCCTTGACTTTTCCACGTGAGACCTCACATGTGAGACCTTATGAGTTCAGAAAACATCAACCTCAATCAGTTTGGCTGATTTGGACCAGAGCAAGAGGTGTGTTGGGGGGGAGAGTGCAAATGAGAATGTGTCAAGGAATTTGAGACAGGAGAGGAAGGTGAAACAAAATGACACTAGATAGTCAAGGACATGAACCTGAGAAATATGGAAAGAAAGAAACAAGAGATGGTGGAATTGCTGGGGATAGATGATGGAATTATTGGAGAGGGGAACAGAACAGCTCAAGTCAGAGGAAGAGTAAGAGGGAAGACTGGCACAAGAAGTTAGAAATGCGAGGAATGTGAATGAGGTAACGGATGTGGCAAGCAGCTTTGGCTCTAAGATGGTGAGAGGAGGAAAATTAGGACTTGGGACCCTGGAGGCTGAGAAATGTGGCTAGTGACTCAGTGAAGGAAAGCAGGCAAGGAGTGGAGAGGTGGAGAATGGAGATGGGTGACCAGAAACTGAGGAAGATCACATCCCAACATGTGCCTCTGCTTGAATTCTTCTGGCTTACCCTGACATCCAGACCTGTGTCCCCTTGAGATAAACTCCTTGCATGAAATGCTGTTCAGTAATGTTTACCCAGACTGCTGGATATGGAGCATAACTGGTGCAGATCATTCCCAAAATACGTGGTACAGGTAATTCATTGTTCTGACCCTATCTATACACCAAGCAGATGCAGCAGTTTCTACAATTATAAAAATACCTACATTTATAGGTGATGGATAAAGTGCTAGTAGCAAGGCCAGCCTAGAACAAACTGTAAATTTTGCGACTGGAGTGACGACAGAAAAGAAAACAGTATGTTACCTCATTTTCCAAGATTACTTATGATGAGGAAAGAATGCTTTCATGTTGCTGAGAAATAATCATGCTACTTTGAGAGACGGTTTAAAGCTATCCACTAAGAACACAGAGCATCAAGTGTGATATCTTGTTTTTGGAGGGATCTTTGACTGAACCTGTGATGGTCAATAATGACAAATGGCCAGAGGAAGGTGAAATTCCCAAGCATGTTATGAAGTCCTACCTCAGCAGAGTCTTGATGTATTGTAGCCAGCCAACACATCTTCTTTTAATCTTTGGCAGCCCTCTGAAGGTTTTTGTGTGTGCGTCAACAATGTACAAGAGCATTCACTTCAACACTGGACTGCGACGGCCGTGGTCTGTCAGGTCGCCTGCTGCCTGGGCCGGCGTGCCACCACAGAGCATTGTGTGGGGCTGCCTGTGGCTTTCACAGGGCTTTCTGGACACTCAAAGAGGGGAAACGGTAGCACTGCCGGGCTGTGTGTGCTGCTCTTGGCTTCCCAGTGCGCCGAGGGGCAGGTGTGGTGAGCAGCGCGGCGCAGCGGGGAACGTGGACAGCAAAATGGTGGTTAGCACGCAGGGTGGGCGATGCACGAGGGTTGGGTGGCCAACGTCGGGGCCTACCGACGGAGCGCTGGACGCCCGCATGTGAGAAGCATCAAGCCCTGTCACGTTGTGTGGGCAAAGGCAGCAGAGATGTGGCAACGGTGACGGGTGTGACGTGGGGGACCGGGCTGAAGTGTGGGGGGGGGGGCCGTCCGTGTGCGCGGGCTGCGGGTGCGCCGTGCGGGAAGGGACACGGGGCCTGGCGCGCTGGAGCACCGGGCACGCACAAGGGCGGCTGCGGCACCCGCGGCACCGGGGCCGCCGTGCCGGGGAGGGGCGGGCGGCGGGGGCCGCTCTCCCTGCGGGCCGAACGCCGGTGGCAGCAACTGCGCCCGGCCGAGGGCGGGCGGGGCGGCCGCCGCGGCGCGTGACGGCGCGTGCCGCGTGACGGCGGGGCGGAAGCCGCGGGAAGACCGGCAGGGAGAGCGCCCCGGTGGGGTTGCGTGGGGGAGAAGGGTCGCTAAGTGCCGCCGGTGGGCTACGCGCACGCACGCTCACACCCCGCCTCCCCGTCCCGCCTCCTGCCCCGCCGCCGCGGGCAGCGAGAGCGGGGAGGCGGCCCTCAGCTGCCCGCGCCGATCGCCTGGCGGCCTGGCGGAGCGGCGCTGGGCCCGCCCTCCCGCGCGCGGTGGGGGGGGGGGGGGGGGGGGGGAGGCGTGTGTGTGTGTGTGTGACAGGAGGGGAGGGCGAGCGCGTGACGCCCTCCGCGCCCCGCCCCCCCACCCCCCCCCCCAATCTCCTGCCGCCGGCGCCGCCACCTCGGCCCGGCGCGGGCGGGCGGGCGGGCGAGCGGGCGGCGCAGCCATGGAGCCGGAGCGCGAGTGCCGGGTGCTCTCCATCCAGAGCCACGTCGTCCGCGGCTACGTGGGCAACAAGGCGGCCACCTTCCCCTTGCAGGTGAGCGGGTCGCGGGTGGGGTGTCGTCGTCGTCCCCCACACACGCACGCCGCCGCCGCTCGTCCCGCCGCTTCTCCTCTGCGAGGCGGCGAAGGGGAGCGGGGCAGGCGGCGTGGTGGCGGGGGCTGCCCGGCGGGCTCTTGCCAAGGCGGGTGAGGTCAGGGGACGGCCGACGGCGGCCCGGCCGTGCGCCCTCCCCGCCCTCCCCGGGGCCGCGGGGAGCCGGGGGACAGTGACCATCCCGGCGCTTCGCGCACCCCGGGCAGCCGGAGCCGGTGCGGCCCGGCCCGCGGCTCCCGCCGGCGCAATTCAGCCTCCCCGCTGGCTTGAGGCTGTGGCACGACGAGAGGGCTCGGGGAGAAAAAGGTGGGGGGGGGGGAGCCGGGAGGGCTTGCGGGTGGGTTCGCTGGGCTTCGTGTCGGGGCGCTCGGCGAGGCATGTGCTCCGGTGCCGGGCCGGCGCTCCCGCTCGGCGGTGACACCGCTGCCGGCTGCGGAGTTGCTTTGCTGAGGGCTGGCCGGCAGTGGGAAAACGCTGGTGTGCTTTGGGGCGAGCCTTTGTACGTCTTGCTGTTCTCTCTTGGCAAGTGTCTGTGTCGTAAGGGGCTAATTTGTGGCCTTACCATCAAGAGGTCTTTGTTCCTTAGCATATGTGTGGCTGTACAGAGCGTGCTGTCGAAGAATCTCATTGCCAGAACGTTGTGACATTGGTTGTCTTGGTACATGCTTCACGAATGACGGTGTAATCTCACTTGACTAGACGGAGGAGACGGTATGCTCTGATAAATGCTGGACTTGAGACCAGGCGGGCAACAAGCTAACATCACACCCCCTTATCACCATCCAATTACAGTGTAACCAAGTCCCTTGAAAATTAGTGTACGGTGAAGGCTGATGCAGGTATGAAAGCCATGTATCGCTGAAAAATCTATGTATGTGGAGACCCATGCCTGAAAGGCTGTCATGATCTGCAGGCCAACTGTCCCTCCTTCCCTAACAGAATTATCTGTGAACTCCGCTACATCCCTCACCTGCCCTAGCTATTTCTGTAGTAGCAGAAGGGCACACAGTAGTACTTGTTCCAGAAACCTCCAGTCTCTCAAACTGTTGTCTTCATTTCAATTCTGAGTCAAAGCTTCTCTTTACTCTTCTGTAACTCAACCTTCCTGTGGCATATAAGCATCACTATGAGTGTCTCGTATGACTTGGCAAATCAGTTCCTGTAAAGTGTCTTCAGTTCCTTGACTATGACACTGTAAAATACTACTGCAGTTAAAAAGTCCTACTGATGTTGTAGCTGGGTCCTGTTTAGGAGGCTATCACACTCACACTGTAATGTTCCTCAGTGTATACTGTAACAAGAAGTTGCTGGGGTGGGAGGGGAAAGTTAGTTGGGGAACAACTGAACTCCTGTCACTATGGGCTGCACTTGAAAATCCTGTGTAGGCAGCCCTCAATGAAGCTGTTCTTGCTAGAAAGTTATTTAAACCCTGTTTTTTTCTAGCATATCAGATGAAGCAAGTTGTCACCAAGTGAAACTCTCCTTTTTGTGTGTGTGTTTTCTTGAAACAAGGAAAGGAATTACAAACCTGAGTCTATTTTTTTTTTATCCAGATAAAAATGAAACTTGATGCTGCTCTTGAGGATGGATGCAAATCTGTCATGCTTATATTACTTCCCATTCTCTTTTTTAGTTTGGTCTTCAGAACCAATAATGGTTAAATGAGGCTTCCTTCTGAGCTCATCAGTATTGCATTTGCAAGCCAAGGTGTATGGAGATATGTGTGTGTGTGCATATGAGGTCTGATGGGCTGAAATCCTGACAGAAAAAATTCAGGAATCTGCATTTGGACAGCACCATCCAAATAGAAAACCGGATGTGGTTTCACGTGCTGTTTCCAGACTTCTGCAAAAACATCTATCATGTTTGAATTACTTGATTGTTGGTGGAAGTCTATGACAGTATTATTTATTAGCAATAGCCAACATAGCAGTGTGCACAGCAGAGAACTCTTTGGTGTCTTTTTTTAACCAGTTGGTTTTGCGTTGTCAGGCTTCCATTACACTACAAGTTAAAGTATTTTAAAAGTGTTTTTGAAGTAGATGTGTGGAAATACTTTCTCTGTGAAGTATGTGGTAAATGCTTTCTATACAGCAAACACAGCAAAAGAGAGTTAGACCGTATATTAGAGCAGTTATAATAATGGAAGTAATATAGCTGAGTGAGAAATACTAGAATCCTTTATACCATTTCAGGATAAAAACACATTTTCTGAAGTAGTTTGAGATTCTAGATTAACTAATAGGTCTTAGAGGAAACATGCGCCTGGATTTTCCAGGTGGTAAAATGCCAGGAAGTGAACTGTCCTCAGTTGTGCTTTGAATTCTGCCTTATCAAGAGTTTAAATAGTTTTTACTTGCATGGTTTTACTGTCTCTTTAAAAGTTCTGGAGGTGGTTCTGAATTATTTTTAAAATAGTCATAGGTTATTTCACAATCGTGTAACCTGAGCAGCTTTTGGTATCAGGAAATCGTGTAGGGCTGTCCAGCCTTTCAGAGAGGAAGAGCAGTGGAGTGTACGCTGACTTGGGGAGTTGCCACTGTCAGTCAGATAAACTGTTTTAAAACACCAGGGAATGCTTCTCCTACTTGACTATGAGTTGTCATAGTTTTTATCATATAAAATAAAAATGTGTGTTTTCACCATGCCATTCAACATTACTTTTATGTGTTTTCTTCCTTAAAGGTATCTCTTACTTGTTAATTTCAAATATCATTTTAACTTAACTTTCCTTACCTTGAGGGGGCAGTAAGTAAAGGGTGCAGTACTGGCAAGCAGAGTTACAGCCCTACTCAAACCACAGGGTGCATGTGCAATGGCAAGCTCATTTCTGTTCTGTAGAGGTACTTAAATCTGACCATCAGGAAGATTTAGGTAGGCAGATGAAGTTAAGATTCATATACTACACCCATCAGAATATCAGCTCTTGTTGAGTGAGTATTTTGGTCTGTATGTTCAGTCCTTTGGGCCGCTGTGAGTTTCCAAGGAAGAGGTTTGAAAGTATAAGGAAGGGACAGGAGAAAGTCCCAGCTGATTTCACCTGGGCACTGGACGTTAGCATTTGGTTGCCACTGGACTGGATTATACTCTCTTGTGCAAACCAAAGCTGTTGATCTTTGCTTATGTATAGGTAACAATGAGATCCACAGAGTTTTGTACTTTCTATTCTTACCTGGTTTGATAATGCTAATGAAACATGAGTATGTGGTGGGGGTTTTTTGTGTTTGTTTTGTTTTGTTTCTGTGTTTGTTTTGTGATTGGTTGGGTTCTTTTGGTCTATCCTAACACTCATAGAATTTGAGAAAATCTTGTCTTTGTTTTGAGTATTTAATTCTTGATTTCCTTTTATATCTCCTTACCCTAAAGATGGAGCTAAAAGTGTGGACAAATATCATTAGTCTGGCAAATGAAATTGTCTGTTCCAAATTGTAGGACACCACCATAAAGAAGCTGCTACAATACAGGATAAGATGGTCTTTTAAAATCTGTTCAATTTTTTTTTTCCCCCTGCCGAATGGAAATAGTTGTCTGTTCAGGTATTAATAAGGGCATATGATTCTTATCCTCAGACTAATCCCCAGCCATTCTCTTCTGCAAAAGAAACAGTAAGTCTACTTTTTTATCCCCTTCCTAATTGTATAAAAGATGGGAAAACAACTTTGGTTAGCACAGACGGTAATTTCTTTGATATTGAAGGATAGTATTGAACTTCACTGTTTGGCCAAGGGTATAATTTGCTTTCCTATGCTGAGACCAAAACCGGTATCAACCTATCTTTATTATCTGCTGCTCTAACAAAAAAGTTTAGTCTTCTTTCTGGTTTTTCCTCCCTCTCTTCCTCCCTCCCTCCTTCCCTCCCTCCCTCCTTCCCTTTCTCTTGTTGAGCGATGTAGTCAAACAGATTAAGTATTGTACAGAAAGAGAGATAGGTAAAGAGCGTCTCTTATTTAAGATGACTGCTTGCTCTGTTTTTCAAAATCTACTTCTATTGTGTTAATGATACAAATCAGTAGAAGGATGAATGAGTCGAAAGTCTTTACAGAAAAACAGTAAGAAATGTTCCTACTGGCTAGCTCTTGTTTTTGTTACAGATCAAAGGCTGAAAAAGCCTAACCCTTGAACAAAAAATAAATACAAAGATAAAAGAATGTATTTGATTTTTGTAATATCCGAATATTGTCCTAAATTACATATCTGAAACAAGAATTGTGGCTCTAGATTCATACTTCAAATGAAGCTTGCAGAAGCATGGTTTTTTTCCTTGCCTCTGTTTTTGTTCTTGTAAGAAAGGTAAACATGGGACAGATGAATTTAAGAAAAAAACCCAAACTTGTGACCCCTCTGGGAAGGCTTATTCAGAGCTATGTAAACAGCATTTTCTTATTACATGGGTATCAGTATATGTAGTTGCAAAAGTCTGGTGAATACCTTGTGCAAGGTGAAACCTTGAAAAAAACTTGTAATCCAAAAGGTCTGAACAAGGTGGTTCCCTGCCTGGCAGTCTGGATTTCTAGTGAAAGGCTTTACCAGAACTTTCCAGAAGTGCTTGTCCAGATTAATCCACCTATGAAGGATGGCTCTGGCTCCCTAGCTCAGGGGTACTGTTAGAACTTTGGACTTCTGAGAAGGTTGTAGGAGATGAACTTTCAACCTGTATGGTAGGATGGACGGGGAGTGGGACAGGACTGAGAGAGGACAAGAAAGTGGAATATTCCTCAAAAGACAAAACAAAAAAGCGCGTGGGGGGTGTCACTCTTTAAGCTCTTAAAATTGCTTAAAGACTGACTAGACTAAGGCAAAGAACTGGGAGAAATTCTGGGGTCTCACTTTTACTTAACAGTAGTAGTTTATGTTTGTGTAGAACTGTAAACTAAGAGATCCCAAATTTCTTTACAAACTTCTTACAGAAATCTTTTCAACTATTAATGCAAAATAATAAA